CGGCGCAGACATATTCACTCTTTGACGTCTTCTACAGCTTGAATATTTGTACTAGCCGTTATCTTCAAATTGTTTATTCTCTGACGCAACTTTGTTTATTTTGATATCACTTTGCCTGTCCACTTGTTATTTGTATACTACTGTGAGGTGTGGCAACTTGAACCGATGCACTTTTGTGCGAGGTTTGCTGTTGATTTCATCTGTGTCTGGCTGTCTTCGAGTAATTGTGGACCGTAGAATCCTGGATGCAGTGTTGTTTAAGCTAGTCTTATCTTTGTTGTAGGAAGACCTATTCTTTTTCTGAACTGGAGTGATCAGTGATGTGGACCAGTTTGATGGGATTACGTGTGATTCTCCACGCTGCCTAGACCCTCCTTTACTTTACTGTGTAATTTTTTACCTCCTTCCTTAAAATATTCTAGTGTCAAGAAGTTAGATCCTACTGTTTTGCCGTCGTTTCAGGTGTAAAACAACCTACAAAATTGGTATATTTGGAGGAGCGGAGTCAACTTCCCTTCCATATTGTGGTTGGGTTATGGGCAGTGGTCCGGTGAAACTGCTCTTCAAAATGGTACACCTGACGTGCTAACGGCCTATCCTGAGAGGTTGTCAGGGTCCGATTCTTTGCGGTTATGGTCTGACTAACAATCGTCTTCTTACCCGTATCCTTAATAAGCCCAAAACATTGCTGAGTATAACCTAATGCTGATGCCTTGTCCACCTCTTTCACTATTGCTATCCATCACTGCTCACCATCATTACAAAGATTCTCAGTCAATTCAGGTTTAATCTGCTTTCGCTCCTCATTGTTGTCAGAGCCAATTGGAATCAGTTCTTCCTCATCGACAAGTTCTAATGAGGTTGCGAAATTTCATCGACTTTTTCTGACCTTTGGAATGTAGGCTAGCTTATGTCTTCACCGTTGTTTTCACCAAACTGAATATCACGCCAGGTGTCGTCAGAGGATAATTTCTGCCATGTTCAGATAAATGCCTGACTATTCCCTCTCTAAAAATAGGCACCTAATGTTCTGATGTTCCGCTCGACCATACAGAGGTTTGACTGTTATGTTTCGTGTAACTGTTAAGGCGTAAGCTTGCACGTGGATGTGCTTAGACATGCTTAGAGTCGTATAAGGTACTCCAGAAAGAGCGGCAATCGTCCAGCTGTCCTCTTCAACGATAGCTTATTGGAATGTGATCTATGTGTCGATTGTTGGTTTGATGTCAGTGGACGCTAATTGAGAGGGTGTTTGTCCATATACTTGGAATTAATGTTGACCAAAAGCAAGTGATTGTCAGACGAGAAAGCATTGTAAGGGACGATCACCGTTGTCTGTTTGTTGGTAAGGGATACCGCAGAGACTTTTCCAGTCAACTCAGCTTTCCTACTTGAGTGTTGAAGTTGCCTGGTAGTGTGACTATTTGTGAGAGATGGCTGTGGAGAGAGAGGATCAGTGATAAGACCAATGTGGGTCAAAAGCAACAGATCTTGGTTTACTGCTAGTATGTTACCAGGATTTGCTATTCAAAACTGAAATGTACGAGTAATCAATAGTTTTATTTGCCTGATACCCACTTTTTTTCGTCCTATTGTGCAAACGAAGGTGGAATATCTGCAATTTATTGTAAGTTTATCCCTATGACTCATGTTTTTTTCGAGTGGTATATACTGTTGTTTCATGAGAATTGTGTCACACATTATAAGCTTTCCTGAGTAGTTTTGTATAAAAATCCTGTCTAGATGAGATTTTTGCAGTTAAACAACTACTAAACTCTGAAAATTGTAACATTAACCATGCGGTTTTCACAGTTATTGCGCAATCCATGGAGTTGTGTAGGATTCAGTTTCCTTTTTTAAAATTGGTTGGTGGTTGTGTTAGGCAGTTCATTACACAAGTGGATGGGTTAAATCAAGGAGTGATGCTCTTAGGTGTACTTTCAGAATCCCAGCTAAACCAAGAGATAACGGTGATTGCCTTCTAAAACTGTTGTCATGTAGCGATTTCTCTCTTGGTAGCACGAACTTCGTTAATAAAGTGAGATATTGTCTGATGCGGTGTTCACTGTTTTCGACTCAGCGGTGGACACATATAGATCGCAATACTAGCGGTCATTGCTGGAGAAGGGGGAAGACTGCCGCTCCTTGTGGAGCATGTACTTGGACAGCGACCACGTGTTGATTAGAGCGCACTTATCTTTATGTCTGAATGGATCTAGGAAAACATTAGCAACAAGAATGTTCGACAGACGATGAGAGCACTAAGGCCTCTTTCAATGTGAAATTGATTCGACAGTTATTAGAACTGAACAATACCACTCGTCCAAATGAAGCTTGGTACCATTCCAAGTGTGCTGTAAAAACAGGAAAAAAGACCGTACCAGACTGTCAGAGAGTAGTTTAAAGGAGCCAGTGGATACTAGTATGTTCTTCTGAATCAATGAATGCGCACGGACAAATCTTTCCAGGTTCCGAGTACAAAGAGGAGCGAATGCAACTCAAACGTAGACTGAAAAAACATCTGTGCAATGACCGTGAACAGTGGTGGGCAGCGATGGCTAAAGAGATGGAAAAGGTAGTAGTGAAAGGTAACTGTGGACAGCTATTTAGACTTCTTAAGGAAACTGGGACAAGAACGTTAGTGATTATTGAGACTGCAGCAGATAAGGGTGGGTCTTTGGTTCGCTGAAAGGAGAGAGGACTGGAACGATGGGCAGGAATTTTTCGAGAAGCAGCTCAACTGGTTTCCAGTTAATATTCAGTTGCCCGCTATCCAGTTGGGGCCTGAATGGAACATCAAGATAGGACAGGACTCCCGGCATTTACAAAGTCGTGAGAACTGTAGGTAACCTAAAACGAAGAAAGGCAGAAGGGCTAGATGGACTAGTTCCGGAGGTATTTAAGGAAGGTAGTCAAGAATTTTTAGTCAATTGAAGTATTAACTAGTGTGTGGGAGTTAGATATGACCCCTTCTGACTGGTGGCAATCACTAATTGTCCCAGTCTTCAAGAGAGGTGAAAAGTTCTCTTGTGAAGACCACGGGGGAATCAGCCTGACGAAAATAATGTTTAATATTCTAGGTCCTATGACGTCTGAGTAGAGGTTGGGTACAGCAAGTTCGAAAAAACCAGGCAGACTTCAGACCTGGTTGTGGGTGCATCGACCAGATTTTCACACTCCCCCAGGTTCTGGAACACAGATACATTTATCGACACCCAACACTGGCTGTATTTCTTGACCTGAAGGCGACATTCGAGTTCGTGAATCGAGAGATTTTATAACATTGACTGAAAGGGTTAACGGGTATGTACATCACTCTATTGAAGGCTCTTCACTCTAACACCTGAGGCGTCTTAGAGCCTTTGGCGAGTTGTCAGGTGAGCTGTGTACATCGAGTGATATCCTTCAAGGATACCCACTCTCTCCATTCTTATTCATTCTTACCATACATCTGTACATTAAGGTTTTCCTGTATGGCCTGACATAAGAGGGGTTAGTCTAGACACCGGAGAATCCTTGGTAGATCTAGAGTACACAAATAACAGTCCTGTTAGATAACGAGACTGACAAGATGCAGAGTCTTCTGAGTAGCAATTTGGGAATGTTTGAGATGAGTAGTTGCGAGCGCTGAGCACTTCACTTATCTGGGAAGTTGGATCAGCCGTGATGGGTCATTGACCGACAAAATATCTGCACGGATACAAAAGACTCGGTTGGCTTTTACCAACTTACGCTATCTGTGGCGCCGCTGTGATAACCGATTGTCTATTAAGGGTCAAGTGTATTTTGCTGCAGTCCTCTGTTTTCTACAGTATGGCTGTGAAACATGGAGATTAAAGGTGAACGATATGCGAAGGCTTCAGGTGTTTGACCACCTCTGCTTTCACAACATAGGCCGTGTGTCATGGTGCCACCACGTCAGTAACGTAGAAGTCAGGTAAATAGATTTAGAGTGTAGAAGAAGATCAGTTGATACAGTTGTGAACTTTCATCAACTGAGATGGTTGTGATATGTGTTACGCGTCCCTAGTCACTGTCTGCCGCGTCGCGCAATGTTAGCTGGAGTTTGTTCAGGATGGAAAAAGTTTCGAGCCACCAGTGAATAAAGTTTCTGACTGTTTGTGTGAGCCATGTAAGGAGATACAAACTACCCGTTTGGGGTTGACGTGATAACAGGAACCAGTGGTTGGAGACTCTAGGTGATATAGCTCAGAATCGCTGTCAGAAAAGCAGAGTTGTATCTATGCATTGTCTTAATCTCAGTCGCTATACTTTATTCATCATTTTTTCAATTCACCCTGCTCTCTTTTTTCTGCTTTCTTCTGCTTTTGACTGGTTTTCTTCTCACCTTTCATCTTATTGCTTTGTTACTTGTTGTGCTGATTTGATTGGTGCTCAATAATGCCTGATCCTATCTTGACATTGATGTTTCCCGTGTAATGTGGCAACTTGAAATGATGCACTTGTATACCGTGTTCTTTTTTTAATCCGTTTGTTGTCTCATGGTTGTTGAGTCCTAGTTGATTGACTTGTTTGTGAATTCTCAGCTACTGATACCCTTTAGTTGCGCATTGTGTACGCGATTCTCCATTTTTCTTGATTAAAGACCTTTTGGGGTATTAGAATCGTGTTTTAAGATGACTGTTTAACAATAGCTGGGTATAGTAGGAATTCATCGTTTCCTTGACTCCTGTTCTCAGCTATGTGCTGAAATTTGGATTACTTTTTCGCGCTAGTCGAAAAATTTGTCATGAATGTTTGGATAATCTAGGTGATGTATCGGGGTGGTGCTATTTAACATTTTAATAAGTTTAATATTTTGATTATCGTGTTTTACTGATCTGTGGTTGATCATGGCAAGCAGCAAACTTTTATTCAGTCATTCACGTGTTTGAAAGTTGCTCTGCCTAATCAGATTCGGTGAGAACATTAATGTATTGCCTCATATAAAAGAAACTTCAAGAATTATTTATCATTATCTCGTTGAAATTACTTCACAGGGCTTCCATGATATTTGTTACATATTTTTTTCTGTCCTGGGTGAAGAGGAGTCTCGTGTACTGCTGAATAAATTGGTCCCAACTCATTTCAGGTAAGGTTTTGAATAGTAGGTAATTTTAACGTGTTTATCTAGTTCATGTTAATAATTATTGAGCTTTTAGCAACCTTATGTTTGTACTCACTTTAATCGAGGATAGTGCTTGTGATGTAAAGTAGAAATCAATTCTATAACAGCTAAAAATTTAATACTCTATATGAACATACTTGAGATGAAAAATTAAAAAATGATAGATACGTAAAAGTAGAATTATACTATCTATTTACTGTCCAATGCCATGCTTCAATCTCCCTAATGAAAAAGCACTCGCAACAACTTCTCTACAATCGACCTTGACAATATCACCCTGTATTTATAAGAAGTCTGCCATCTTATTTTTATCAACACTTAAAACTTCTTTCTAAGTTGTTTATTACCAAGGTTCTCAAGTGGTTCCTTCACTCCTCTTCCCACTGTTTTAACCCACTTTAAGTTCATCTAAAGGGTGGAGAAAACAGTTTTCTACATCATATATTTAAGCGGTATGCGTTACTTCAAAGTCACAAGTTGGTATACTGAAAATCAAATTCGCACCTTTTTAAAACACAAATTTAGAGTTTAGAGTTAACACATTTAATTAAGGTGCCGCATTCAGCTTATGCTGAAATAAACAACCTGCAACGTACACGCTTAAATTTTTCGAGTCATTTGAGAGCTATTAGTAAGCTATACCCTAGTATTTTGATATTGTAAATTTAAAAGTTTTACATCTGTCATTCCGGTCTGTTTCTAGTTGGCTCTGTTGTGAGTGTTCTTTATAGATTGTGCTTTTCAGTGTCAATTCTTCCACTGTTTGAGAAATTACTGATAATTTCTGTCTACATTTCAATTTAGCTTTTGGTCGTAATAAAAAAACCCAATTGCTACCCATATATATATATATATATATATATATATATATATATATATATATATATATATATATATATGTTTGAAGCAACTGGTCCCTTTGATAAATTTAAACAGCGTAATGAGAAGAAGATTATCTGAAACATGTGATATATATATATATATATATATATATATATATATATATATATATATATATATATATATATATATATATATAGTATTTCTATCAACTGCAGAGAAACGAAAACCATTTATTTAGTCAGACCTGCAAATGTTTGAAACAGTGCAGGTAATCAATATATTATGACCACATGAAGATGTTTTTTTTAGCTTCAACAATACAATCGGTGACCGAATATGTTGGCACGTTCAACTCTTTATACACTTGCTTTATTTCAAACATCAATTTAGGCTGAATTAGATGTCTTTCTAGTGTTGGATAGCTTGGATCGATGGTATTGCTTAGGTACTACTTCCAAGGATTATAAACAGACTTCTGGACAATGAGATTGTTTGAGTCGTGAAGATGTATAAAGTAGTGGTATTCGAAACGTCTAAACTAGGGTTGTATTCTGAAACTTAATGACTCTTTATTATAGGTTATAATAATGTGATTGGATAGATACTAATTAATTCAGAAAGTGTATTTTATTTTTTTACGTTGCAATATTTTTAATTTACACTGTTCAGTTGGAGTTCCCAGATACATTTAGTCTTGTTTCAATCAATCAATATCAACATAGGACCAGGCATTACTGCGTACCGGTCCGAGTTGCCACACCTCACGTCAGTTCATCAGGTAAAAAGGCAGTGAGGTGCAGGATAAAGATAAGAGGATGCAGTCAAAAGAAATATAAAGTACGAGAAGAAAGAAAGGAGGATGACAAAATGGCGAGATTCAGTATGGCGTCGTTAAGATGATGATAGTGTGTGTATACATCTGCGCCACTGACATCAGTTCTGAGCCACACACGTAGAGTCTTGAGCCACTGGTTCCTCTTGTCCCGCTGACCCAGACCACCTAGTCTGCATCGCCCCACATGACTCAAACCAACAGTCAGAGACTTCATACATTGGTGCTATGATTTAGTCTGGCCACCTCAGGCCTTTTTCCAGCCTGGACCTACTTCAGCCAACATTGTGTGACGAGGCAATCGGCTACTAGACATACGTAACACGTGTCCCAACCATCTCAGTCGATGAAGGTTCATGACCTCGTCAACTGATTTCCTCTTCTCCCTAAAACTCTATACCTGACGTTTGCGTTATTCACGTGGTGACACCACGGAATACAGCCTATAGTACGAAGGCAACGGTGGTCAAACACTTGAAGCCTTCTCATATCTTCCACTTTGAATGGCCATGTTTCACAGTCATAGAGTAGAACAGAGTGGACTGCTGTGCAGTACACGCGACCCTGAACAGACAAAGGGATATCACGGCGGCGCCATAGGTGGCGCAAATTGGCAAGAGCCGATAGAGCCTTTTGTATCCCTGCAGAGATCTCATCGGCAACTAACCCACCAAGGTTGATCCTACTTCCCGGGTAAGTGAAGTGGTCAACACACTCAACCACTTCACTCTCTATTGTTAGTCGCGGTACCGCTGAAGACCAGTCCTGGAGAAAAATTTGCATTTGGGTGGTGAGAAACGCATTTCGAATTGCCACTCAAAATGTTCAGAAGACTCTGCATCTTGTTAGCGTCTTCGCCTAACAGGACTTTGTCATATCATCTGGATATTGTAGGTCTAACGAAAATTCTCCTGCGATTAAGTCAACGTCTGTGTAATCAGGTGACGAGAGGGAGACCTCCATGAGAATATCTGTGATAAAGTTGAATAAGAATGGAGACAGTGTGGACCCTTGACGGACACCACTCGATGAGTATAGCTCCCAGGACAACTCACCATAGGCTCTAAAATGCCCACAAGTGTTCGAGTAGAGAGCCTTCAATAAGGTGATGTACTTACCAGGCACGCCTTTCAGTGAGAGACTTTACTATAAGACTTGTCGCTAAGCGTGTCTGTGCCCCAAAACCTGGCGCAGTGTAAATATTTGGTCGACACACCCGCGGCCAGGTCTAAATCCTGCCTGGTTTTCTCGGGCTTGGTGTTCCCGAGCTCCACTCAGGCGTCGAAGAATTATAGGACCTAGTATCCTGGGCACTATGTTCGTTAGGCTGATTCCTCTGTGGTTATCACAAGAAGACTTCTCGCCTTTTTTGAAGACTGGGATAATCTGTGATTTGGACCAGTCATAGGGGATCGTGTTTGATTTTCATATACTGGTTAACGCTTCCGTTAACGTGACTAAGAGCACCTTACCACCATCCTTGTATACCTCGGGAGTTAGTCCGTCTGGTCCTGCCGCCCTTCTTCGTTTCAGGTTACCTACTGCTTTTTCTACTTCTGCCAGTGTTGGGGGGCCTATCTCAATGTTCCATTCAGGATCCTACTAGATAGTGGGCAATGCAATAGTGACTGTATGCCAGTTAAACTGTTCCTCGAAGTGTTCTGCCCATCGTTCCAGTCGTCTCCTCTGCGAGTGAATTGCAGATCCTTCCTTCTCCGCTATAGCCTCACTAACCGCAGTTGACTTTCCCCCCAGTTTTCTTAATAAGTTTGAATAACTGTCTACTGTTACCGATCGCCGCTGCCTTTCCATCTGTTTAGCCTTCGCTGTCCAGCACTGTTCGCAGTCGTTGCGTAGACCTTTTTTAGGTTGCACTCGTTCTTCATTGTACTCAGAGCCTGCAGGGATGCATTCGCATGCATGCATTAGTTGGTAAGAAGCTGCTGATATCCACTGGCTCTTTTTAGCCACTATTTTGGAGTCGGCTGCGGTCTTCAAAGCTGCTCTTACAGGAGACTAAAGATGGCACCAAGCTTCTTCTGGATGAGTGATGGTCTTTTGTTCCGATAACTGTCTAGTCAACTTCTCACTGAACACGGCTTTGGTGTTTCCGTTGTCCAGCAGCACTCGTAGTGGTTTTGTTGCCAAATTTTTTTATGTCCATTGAGACGCAGGCATGTACGCGCTCGGACCAACGCGTGGTCGCTATCCAAACACGTACTCCACTGATCCTCTCCAGCGATGACTGATACCAATGTGGTTTATCTGTGTCCATCGCTGAGTTGAGGTTGGTGGATGCCAGGTGAGACAGTGTCTTTCTTTATGTCTGAAATTTGTGCTGGCTAAAAATAGGTGGTTATCCGAGCACATTTGGTGGTGGATAGCAGCTGAGGAAACTTGAGTTCTGATTGAGTTGTGATCTGAGTTGCCCCTCCCCGGCTGCCCATACTGTGGAAAGCTATTTCTTCTTAAGGTACCTGAAAGAGATTTGTGTTACCGCAGAGCCCATCGGACATCTGCTTGAGGCCTGTCACATGCAGTCTTTTGAGTATGATTATTTTGAACTTTTGTATTTTTGGGGCCGGATGGTCGAAAGGAAATAACAAGTGAACCAACACCGCCGGCCCGACAGACCGTGGGGTATGGTGGAGTGTGTTATTTTTGGGGCCGACCTTTTCTAACCCTCCCCCTTCCACTGAGAAGGCAGCATCAGCATGGCACTGCTGGTCAGGTCATCCAAGGGAAACACCTTACTGCTGTCACACCCCATCCAGCTAGCAGGAGCACGACTTCGTCCTCAGACCCCATCATAGTGTAGCAATTTACACTATAACGGTAACTGCTTTTCATCTAACCACTATCCAACAGACCTTTCTGGTATGGTGTGACCTCGAGGGAACAAGCGTTCCACCAGCATATCTCGTTGGGTCATTATGATATGCAAGCCCGACCACCACGTCAATGTTGGAGCTGTCGGTCGAGTTTGTTTGTTTTTCTACAAGATATCTCAAATAAAGGTGATTACTTTTTGAAAAATATTGTGCATGTGCCTACTGTCTTCAGATCAATACAAAGGTTTTTTTCTTACATTTTACGCAGTTTGTTTATGCAAAAGTCTATGGACGTTACCCTGGAATATATGCAGTTAATATTCGCCTTGCTGGAATGCGTATCAACTTCTTTATTAAGCAGTATTGAATCTGTTGAACTGGGACCAGATTTTGCTATTGCTTGGATTATCACCTGGTTTGCACATGTCCTACCGAATATGGATGATGTTAGACGTTTGTTTGATCTGTTTTTAGCTACAGATCCTATCATGTTGGTATACGTGTCAGTTGCTGTAAGTTGAAAATGGTAGTATGTAAACACTGTTGATTGATTTTCAAATAAAGTTTATCACTGATGCAATGAACTGCATCGTCGAAGAAAGTAATTTCAGTTACATGATATCCTTTTTTGCCATGTGTTAGTCCTTATAGTTTTCCATAAACTAAATGTTCACTAAAATACATTGAAACGTTGTTTTCTTCTGCCATACTTTATCTTAGAATTCTGTGAATAACCAGTAGGTGGATTTTGCTGATGACTATCAACGGAACATCTGTAACTCATATTAAGCAGGATTTAAGCCTCATAAAAGTGACAGTGATTTAACACATCTTAATATCAGCTTAAAAAATAACGAAACCTTAACGCATACAATACTCGTCTCTACCACTTCTACACTTTATCCTGATTGGAAGACAAGTAGTCTGGAAAAGAACTACCTGTGACCATTCTAATACATGACACATGGCAGCTGTCAATGAAATCGATGTGAGTTCTCAGTGATCTGGTTGTTGTTCACGAAACAATCGAAATAGATAGATGACGATTTTACGTAAGTGAACTTGTAGTCGATAGGATTGATGCAGTGTCTATGCTCTGAAGTAATATTAATCTGTATAAAAATATCCCCATCCTAGAGTTTGATCCCAAACTATTATGTTATGATGAACACACGTTAATTAGCTTCTGGCCTGCATCTCGTTGGTTGCGACCGTTCTCCGTTTTACTTTTATGACACAGTGCAACTTATGACTCCTCAGCTGTCAGTTATCTTTGATTCTACTGTTACTAAACGTGATCATATTTTGCGAAAAGTCGACCTTTAAATCTCAAAGGAAGCCTAAGTGGACAAACAGATAGACTCAATGTAGAACCTAACACAGAAATGCGTCGGGTCAAGATGCTACAGTTAACAGCAGCATGCAAGAACAAGCGATTAGAAGAAGCCTAATATCCACATAGACAAACGTCTATGGGAGGAAAAGGGATTTGAAAATGGAGGCTAGTGAGAATGTTGAAGCATGAGAAGAAGTCAGTGGAGTGAATACATATACTCTCTCGTTGCTGATTATGGCCATGTCGCCAAGAGTCTCCAACCATTGATTCTTGTCGTCTGAGGGTGCACAACCAGGTTGGCCACACCTCTTCCCATGGTTTGGCTCGAGAGTCAGAGACTTCATACACTGCTAGCAATTCTTTGTCTGACCACTGTCAGCCTTCTTCTTCCAATCGAATTGAATTCCGACTGTCATTGCACGTCGAGGTAAGTGGTAGGTGATCTGAGCTGAGCTGAGCTGAGCTGAGCATTCGCAACACATGTTCGAAGCCACGTGAATAGGTGAAGGTTCAAGGCGTCATCGACTGACTTACTTCCTTACCTAGTACATTTTGCGTAACGTTTACAATGCTCACACGGTGACTCCACCACACGCATGAATACTACGAAGACGTGTGTGGTTAGAAATGTGTAATCGCTTCATATCTTATGTTTTGAACGATCATGTCTATTGAGTGTATAGTAGGACAACAGGTGCTGGAGTGCCGTCTATCCGTGATTCCGGTAATAATTAGTGGTATATCTCCCTGGTGGGAGAGATGAAGCATGTTGGTGAGTGCCAGACGAGCCTTGTGTATCCACATTGAGATTTGGTGAGGAACGAGGTTGTTCGAGCTGATGCAGGTTCCCAGGCAAGTGAAGTGGTCAATGCATTGTAAACTTCACTTCTTCTTATTAAATTGTGAGTGGTTGGAGAGCATTTCTGGAGCATCATCTCAGACTTGACAGGAGTGAAGGGCGTATCAAACATACTGAGATATTTGGGGGAGGCGTTCGGAAGACTACATTTTGTCGGTGTCTTCACGTAGCATGATAATATCGTCTGTGTACTCGAGGTGAACCAGATGCTCTTTGGGGAGTAGATCATTTCTTGTAAAGTCAGAGGTGACTGGTATTATGTCTATTAATACATATATGACGAGGTTAAGCAGGAATAGTGACAGCAGATGTTCCTGGCGGACGCCAGTGGTTGTTTTCACTTCAGGTGACAACTCCTCATAAACTGTGGCATGGCTGGGTGGATTCCAGTAGAGAACTTTGTTTAGCACTAGGTGCTTGTTCTGTTCTCCCTTCACAGTCAGTCGTTGACCGCTGCAGCACGTTTCGGCCGACTGATTCACGTTCCGTTTTCAGTTCGATGTTGGGCGCGGATAGGTAGGCGTGTGTCCTAAAACGTGTTAAACAGTGAAGATTGGATCGACCAGCCTTCGTCCAGATCTGAATCTTGCCTGGTTTTCTCTAGTCAACTGTTTTGGAGTTCCAGTCGATGGAGTCCCTGATTGTTGGTATGGGGTGTGTGGGAGAGATGTATACTATGTGTCTGGTGTCCTCGAGACGATAGGAGTAAGTGTTTGAGGACTCCTGTTGACATGGCTGAAAATCGGTTACAGCGGCGCAGACATATTCACTCTTTGACGTCTTCTACAGCTTGAATATTTGTACTAGCCGTTATCTTCAAATTGTTTATTCTCTGACGCAACTTTGTTTATTTTGATATCACTTTGCCTGTCCACTTGTTATTTGTATACTACTGTGAGGTGTGGCAACTTGAACCGATGCACTTTTGTGCGAGGTTTGCTGTTGATTTCATCTGTGTCTGGCTGTCTTCGAGTAATTGTGGACCGTAGAATCCTGGATGCAGTGTTGTTTAAGCTAGTCTTATCTTTGTTGTAGGAAGACCTATTCTTTTTTCTGAACTGGAGTGATCAGTGATGTGGACCAGTTTGATGGGATTACGTGTGATTCTCCACGCTGCCTAGACCCTCCTTTACTTTACTGTGTAATTTTTTACCTCCTTCCTTAAAATATTCTAGTGTCAAGAAGTTAGATCCTACTGTTTTGCCGTCGTTTCAGGTGTAAAACAACCTACAAAATTGGTATATTTGGAGGAGCGGAGTCAACTTCCCTTCCATATTGTGGTTGGGTTATGGGCAGTGGTCCGGTGAAACTGCTCTTCAAAATGGTACACCTGACGTGCTAACGGCCTATCCTGAGAGGTTGTCAGGGTCCGATTCTTTGCGGTTATGGTCTGACTAACAATCGTCTTCTTACCCGTATCCTTAATAAGCCCAAAACATTGCTGAGTATAACCTAATGCTGATGCCTTGTCCACCTCTTTCACTATTGCTATCCATCACTGCTCACCATCATTACAAAGATTCTCAGTCAATTCAGGTTTAATCTGCTTTCGCTCCTCATTGTTGTCAGAGCCAATTGGAATCAGTTCTTCCTCATCGACAAGTTCTAATGAGGTTGCGAAATTTCATCGACTTTTTCTGACCTTTGGAATGTAGGCTAGCTTATGTCTTCACCGTTGTTTTCACCAAACTGAATATCACGCCAGGTGTCGTCAGAGGATAATTTCTGCCATGTTCAGATAAATGCCTGACTATTCCCTCTCTAAAAATAGGCACCTAATGTTCTGATGTTCCGCTCGACCATACAGAGGTTTGACTGTTATGTTTCGTGTAACTGTTAAGGCGTAAGCTTGCACGTGGATGTGCTTAGACATGCTTAGAGTCGTATAAGGTACTCCAGAAAGAGCGGCAATCGTCCAGCTGTCCTCTTCAACGATAGCTTATTGGAATGTGATCTATGTGTCGATTGTTGGTTTGATGTCAGTGGACGCTAATTGAGAGGGTGTTTGTCCATATACTTGGAATTAATGTTGACCAAAAGCAAGTGATTGTCAGACGAGAAAGCATTGTAAGGGACGATCACCGTTGTCTGTTTGTTGGTAAGGGATACCGCAGAGACTTTTCCAGTCAACTCAGCTTTCCTACTTGAGTGTTGAAGTTGCCTGGTAGTGTGACTATTTGTGAGAGATGGCTGTGGAGAGAGAGGATCAGTGATAAGACCAATGTGGGTCAAAAGCAACAGATCTTGGTTTACTGCTAGTATGTTACCAGGATTTGCTATTCAAAACTGAAATGTACGAGTAATCAATAGTTTTATTTGCCTGATACCCACTTTTTTTCGTCCTATTGTGCAAACGAAGGTGGAATATCTGCAATTTATTGTAAGTTTATCCCTATGACTCATGTTTTTTCGAGTGGTATATACTGTTGTTTCATGAGAATTGTGTCACACATTATAAGCTTTCCTGAGTAGTTTTGTATAAAAATCCTGTCTAGATGAGATTTTTGCAGTTAAACAACTACTAAACTCTGAAAATTGTAACATTAACCATGCGGTTTTCACAGTTATTGCGCAATCCATGGAGTTGTGTAGGATTCAGTTTCCTTTTTTAAAATTGGAAGAGTAGTTGGGTTGTTATGATTTTGAGCTGTGAAGATTGTTTGTCTTGTGTCCACGATTGTTTTCATGAATAGTGACTTATTGAATGTTTGTAAGTGGCATCCATGTGGATGTTTACGTCCGTGCACGCGCTTTGACAACGGGGATCGATCACCTGAAGGCGTCTTATATCCTCTACTTTTTATAACCGTGCTTTTCTGCGATCTATTAGAACAGGGTTACTTGCAGCGCTTTACACTTACCTAATGGATAATTGGATATCATGATAACACCATAATCGGTGGAGGTTGAGGAAGGTCAAACGAGCTTTTTGTATACTTGCATAGAATTGCTCAACTATCCAAGACATGATCGATGCATGCTACCTGGACGTAGTCGTCAGGTTCGCTTATTACAATGAAGAACGCTGGTCGAAACTCGTGATCGTTGTGGTGTTACCATTTCAGGAAGGCTTATTTGATGAAGACCAAGACTATCATAGTGTAAATATTGTAGGTTTTGAATGTAATTCTGTATAGGATTAGTCTGTTTGATATAGCACACAGTGAATATAGTATTATTTATTGGATGATGTTCCCAGGAAAATTTGCTGCTCGTAATCATATCAAGAAAGTCACACAACTTAGCTTAAGGGTTGGAACACAAAGCCATGCTTCTGATGTATTGAATGTGATAGAGGTGGTGTTATCCCTGAATCA